CTTACTTTTAAGCTCACCTGAACCGAAGGCTCAAGTGAGTTTTTCTGATCGAAAATTGTCCGTCGTCCGTCTTAATGTGTCGCTATAAACTTTTCACATTTTCGAATTCATCTCAAGAAACATTGAGCTATTTTCAACAAAACTTTCCACAAAGCATTCTTGGTTGAAGGGAATTTAATTCTGTTCACAGGAATTGTCAAGGGGAGATCATTAAGAAATATGAAATTTAATGGCATCATTTAAAAAGAATTTCTTCTCAATAATCACTGGGCCAAAAAAAAAAAAAAAGAAACATAAGTGAAAGCCTCATTACATAGTGTAGATTCAAGTTTGTTCAAATCGTGACACCTGGGGCTAGGGTGGAGCCACAAAGGGTCATCAAAGTTTAACATAGGAATATATAGGAAAAATCTTTTAAAATTCTTTTATCAAGAAAAGCAAAGCAATGATCAGTAATATTTATAAGGAAGCATCCTCAGGTAGTGTAGATTCAAGATTGTTCAAATCATGGCACTTGGGGCTAGGGTGGGGCCATGTTAGGCGATCTAAGTTTTATATAGGAATATACAGGAAAAATCCTTAAATATCTTCGCCTCAAGGACAACAAATAAAGGAATGATTGATCATATTAATATTTAAGCATCTTCAAGTACTTTAGATTCAAGCTTCTTCAAATGATGACCTCCGGGGATAGGACGGGGCCAAAATAAAAGATCAATGTTTTACATGGAATATATAAGAGAAATTTATAAGAAATCTTTTAAAGCCAAGATTAGTCATATAAATATGGAAGTATCTTCAGTTAGTGTAGATTAGTTCAGATCATATCCCCCTCTCCTCTTTGTGGTAGGGTGAGGCCGCTATTAGATTTAAACTTTTCAATGCTAAACTGATTTCTGCTTTTCACTAACCAAAACACTCAGCTGAGCGATTTGGCCCACGGACCTCTTGTTCGTATATTGCGTCAATAAACTTCGAGCTCAAAATGCTTGATGATTTGGAATTTGGATTTGTGAGATCCGCCACTCAAATCTTCAGAATCTTTAAACATCGGGTTCAGAAAAATTGAGGACCTCTACCCCGGGGACTACAATTTTCACGTACAGTAAGTAAGTAATAAGTATAATAAGTCCTTATTCATATTTTACAATTTGCTTTGTCTATAAGTAAATCACCATACACCCCTCATGCTACCCCATCCCATCCTCAAGACTTGGTAATTATGTGAATTATAATAATTTTTTGAAATGGGCATTTTTGGAATGAAATTTTTGGTTTTGAACAAAATGCACTGACTTCACTTACTGAAAATCATTTTCTTTATCTGAAATCTAATGATTGATAAAAGTATTCAAATTAATTACTTGTTACATGTACACACTATTTGATTGAATGATACAGATAGATATATGTTATAAATCTTTTTAAGAAATGAAGATAATTTTTACTATAATAAAACTGCACATGATGCACTAAATTAAGGCATTGCCTTTCAATGTGAATAGAAATAAACTGGAAAATAATTAGGCTTGTTTAATCTTTTGATTATATTTCACAACGATTTTGAGAGCATGACGTAAGAAAATTCTAGGAGGGAATGGCCCAGAAGTTGGACATCTGTGCATTTTTTCGAATATGATCATGTTAAATACCTGTCATCACGTATAAGAAAAACGTGCATTTATAAAGTTTTATAAGTTTTATCGAGTTATTATAAAATATTAGATATCAAACGAACATCTTGTATTGAATAATAAACAGTATTGAATAATACACGTGTCGTTTTAAATAAAAAATATTGGATATGATCTACTACGGTTCAAAAATATTTTTGCCCCCCCCCCCTTTTTTTCGAAATTGCAGGATTTGCCTCAAAATTTGGAATTTTCATGATCACTTTAAATAACCCATACAACCAAAATTTTTAATTACGTACATTTAAAGCACATCAAATGGATAGGTCTTCAAGGCAATCTGATTTTTTTTTCTTCTGAATTTATTTCAAAATGGAAAGTTGCAGGAATATTCAAATGAATGATTTTTCATACTTACGTAAATATTTATATGAATTTTTACAAATCATAATTTATTTCGGTAATTAATAGAGAAAGAAGTCTTTAATTTAAGTCGAACTTTTATTTTCACAATAGAAATCCATGGAAATTTAAAGGTAAATATTTTGAAAGGATACCCCCCCTTTCCCGTAAAACAAAAATACCAAATTCTTTGTTGTTTCACGGGGGATCATATGTTTACAGCAAATATGTTCACGTTATCACCAATTTCAAAAAAGATTACAACTAAACTTTTTTTAATTGTATCAACCTTATATGTTTAATTTTACATGAGTTAAACATAACACAAGCAAAGATTAAAGGGACATTTATCCATATCCATGAGTATTTAAAAGCCCGGTGATGCTTTAGAGCCTCAATGGATATCATTGTTTATCCCCCCCCCCAAAAAAAAAACCTCTAAAAATCCCTGTCATTAAGAGTGATAAACTATTTGACACTGGTATTAAATCTATTGATCAAATACTATTGATTTTTTTTTTTTTTTTTTTTTTTTTTTTTTTTTTTTTTTTTTTTTGCATTGAAAAATATTTTAAGGACATAATTGTCATAAATATTAATTTATATGGGTGTAAAGTATAGGCGAAAATCGAGGGTTAGCGTGCGTAGTTCTTTCGGTTGCGACGGGGTCACAGGAGTTCATTCATTGACCACACAGTTTGTGCCATTCAAAAATGAAGTTTCTGTTTTCTATCATTGGTTTTGGTTGTGCAATGTTTCTTTAAAAACATAGACGAAAGGAAATACACATGTATGTCTGGAACAATTTACAGGTTGAATATTTATCGGAAATTCAAAACTCATGAAGCATAATTGGAAGGATGTCAGGAGGCTTCTGTTTATAATGCCCATGTTTAAATTGATTTCAGTCTTTCCGAACTCGATGTTTATCTAATAACTAATACAAAGAACGAATTATACGGGTTTTTCCCAAATTTGACCGGGCTAGCTAAATAGGTTACCGGTCTTGTAAACTCAATTCCTTTTGACCGTCAAGGGGTCCCTCCCAGACCCCTCTCCTGTAAAAATATGGAGGTCAAAATATGTGATCCAGGATGTTAGCCAGCCCCTGGCACAAGGTTAACCCATTACTTGTATTATATCCATTGTCATCATTTTGGTCAGGCTAGCTACATTGGTTTGGGGTCCTCTCTCTTCTTTTTTAAGTAAAGAATTTGATTCGCTTCTTTTACGTGTATTATAATGAATTATTCAAGTTTTTTTTTTTTGTTTTTTTTTTAAATTGTTAGGACACTTACGGTAATTTGAATAACATGCGGTTCGCCATTCGATTAGTCAATAGGGAACAACCTTCTAAATTCTGAATGCCATTATTAAGTGCCTTTTGAACAAAAAGATAAAGCGCCTTGTGTCACATTATCAATACATGTATTCATTTGAAGTGTGTCATCTGCACCCATTCAATTAAATTTTTATTCCTTTCTTCATATTTTTTGTAGATATCTGTAATTTATGCGTTCGATCTATGATAAGGATATTAAGGTTAAATTACTCGTAGCATATGGTGTCAGATATCTGTCAGAGATTTGGACCTCTTCATTTACATTTTTTTTACCCTTCATTCAAACAATGATTAATGACACTTATGATCTGAAGTTCTGTATGCTAATCACTTTAGTTTTATAGTAGTCGTCGAGCTATATTCTCTCTCTCTCTCTCTCAATATTTAAGATCACCGCCATTGCCATTACATGATTTCGACGTCGATACTTAGTAAAATTGCTTCTAAATTACTTTAAAATTTATTTATGCTCTGTTTTGAGGACAAATTCATACCTTTGATTTACAGATTATCCGTATACTAATCAAATATGTACATTCGAAAGACATTCCTCTGAAACATCCTAAATAACCCAGGTTGCAATCTGTGAATTTTACCTCAGCAAAACAAAGGCAAACAACAGCGCTACAGAAAAAGAGAACAACTCTTCTTTTTAAGCCTCCCTAAATTGTGTATATTCAGATTTCTTAAGGATGAGCAACATTTATTCAAAATTTTACCTTATTAAATATATTGATTTCGATAATGAAAGCCTCGTCCAACGATAGAACTTTTTTTTTTTTAATTTAAGATGACCTTCCAACATTTTTTTTTATTTTGGAAAATTATTATAAAGTAAAACAACCCCCTTATTTCAAGTTTTCATTAGGAATATACACATGTATAAGGAACCTACATTATCTTAAAAAGTCCCCCACAAGGTGCAGTGGTTAAAGTGTTTCGTTCCTGGGCCCCGTTTTACAAAAGAACTTACGACTAAGACTTAAAAACTTTAGTTGATTGTAAAATCTTACAAAACTGTAGATGTTTCTGTTAAAAATTGTTTGCATAAAAATATCTTTCTAAATTTTCAACAAAAAGATTAAAACCATTTTCAATGTAATCCAAAAAAGGAAAAATAATTGCATAATAAAATTTTGATCTTAGTCGTAAGTTCTTTTGTAAATCGGGACCCAGTTCTTCTGAGGCTACCGTGTAAACCAACATGCGTGAAAAAACTCAAAGAACCGTTAAACAAACAAACAAAATCTTAGATTTATAAAAATAAAACTTGAACACATAAAAGATTGCAATTAAAAGGAGCTTTAATTTGCATGCACGAACAGATTTTTATTATTGGTGGCATGACAACTTGGTCCAACGTGCTTCTTACATGACTTTTATATGCACTTTTACTTCGCTCAAGGTTTTTTCAAAAGTCTTTTGAGTCAACAGGCCAAGCATATTTCCCACTGACATTTTTATACAAGTTAATATTTTATAACAAAAATAAGCAAAGATATCAATGTTTGCTAAACGCTTAATACTAGTACATGTATGTAATCTCGATAACTGCAAATTTACCTCTTAATTAACTTAATACTTTACTATTAAGATAATCATACTAATAAATAAGCACCTACGTTTATTTGATATTTGGAACATTTATTTCTGCCACCATCATCACCAATCTCCTCGTTGTCATCACTATCCTGGTCTCTTGGGTATTTTAAAGGGATGAGGGATGCAACAGAAACTTCAGCGTATTTATATCTCGCAACTAAATACTCTGTTAAAGACATAAGATCTAAGTCAGGTATAACTTTTCTTAAAATCACGATCGAGGAAGAAAAATCACGTACATATAATCCATTCATTTAAAATGTATCATTTTCATTTCCATAATTTATCATCATGACACAAGATCTTGCTAGCTCAGCATAAAAAAATAATTTCAATATAATTGTTTTGCTCAAAAATAACAAAGCCGTTCTTTTCATTGCTGACACTTCGGCTCTGGGAGCAAGCCCCTGTGACTAGGGTTTCAAATTCAAGGAGGTAAACATCTCTAGTTAATATCCCTTTGTTTGATTTAACTTTAAAAAATTAAAACAAGTTTCCATTATGATAAGAAAATGATAGAAAAAAAACCATTTGTCACTCACGTGAAATATGAACACTTCCAAAAATGAATAAGCAAAAAACAATATAAGAAAGAACTCGATGATAACGTTTAAACATTCCGACAGCAATTGTGAAAACAATTTGTGAATTGCAAATCCAATGGACAAATTTGTTGCAGTTACATGAAATTTTACTATATCAATGAATGGGTAAAGAAGTACTATTATGTCATATATTGACCCAGTCCCCTTCGATATCTGATATAATAAACTGCCTGGGGCTTATATATGTACAGCCATTTCATGGTTATCTTTTACAACATTGATTTTCTGTATGAAGTAATACATGGATATAGCTGCTCTAAAGAGCTATATTTTTCCTTATCGGTCGATTTCTTCGAGATGATATGTGACTTTGGAAAATGGGAATTCAAGAAAACAAAAGGGTTGTTTGTTTGTTTTACGTCCTTTTCCAGAATTTTTGACACGTTGAGATGCAACCATGCAGTTGCCGGTGGAAGGCAGCAAATTTAGCCCTGTGGTCGAACTTTATGGCCACTGAGAAGTAAGGGGTCTTTTTGTCAGTGTCTACTGTAATGGGGGACCTCGGTTAAATACGGTCTCATTCTGCAGGACCAGTCTACGCTTCCCTTAATGGGATTTGAACCAGCGACGTATTTATATCCCAACTCTAGGTCGAAACGCTATAGATATGTACTGTTTTCAGAAAGTTATCAACATTTGGTAAGTGCGTTCTCATCTCTCTCGTTAATTATTGTCTACATGCAATATGAGCGTAATTGACGGAATATTCGATTTATTATATTTTAAAAATCGACTTTTTGACTTGTTTTGTATAGACATGAATAGAGAATAAAATTACCAAATGGATGATAAACAACCTTTATATAGTAATATAATTTTTCAATCACACATAAATTGAGCTTTAATGATCCAGCAGAGGTATTTTGAACTTTTTGACATCAGTAGCGTATATGCAACTTCTCTAACCCTTTCAGTGTCACAAGGGTGACCAAAATCCATATAATTCATCATAATTATGAATTTAAAGTAAAAAGTGTTATGAAAAATATAAAAACGTGAAAAAAATAGTTTGTTTACACTCAGGGGGACGGGTTACGGTAGCCTAGTGGAAGGGCGCTCGCTTCGTGATCGGTAGGCCCGGTTTCGATTCTCTTTCGCTGCGCCCCGTCAAACCTAAGACGTCAACATAAATTCCTGTAAAACCGAGGTCCCGTGTCGCGGTATAGGCGTTGGCACTCTCAATGGCCCTGAACTCCGATTAAAAGTCTAAATTTGAAGCTCTTCACCGGTATCTGGTGACCTCTGTATAAGTGAAAAATTTTCGAATGGGACGTAAAATAACATACAATCAATCAATATTATTAAGTTTAATTTCCTTTCAATCACAGACCAAAATATGATTCTGTTTATAACAAACTGCTGGAAAAGCGGTCTTTGATGCCATTTAGGTTGACATTAATATTCAATATATATAGCCGTAGTCAACAGCAGCATGATCATAAAAATATATTACAACAGTAATAATTAAAATATTAATTCGTCAAAGAAACATGAAGCTGAAATGAAATACATGTACTTTAAGGCAACAAGAAATAAAATCATTCCGAAACAAGTTATGTGTAATCACTATTAACATAAAATCTGCATTTAAATAAAATATATGTATAATTTTGAATTATTTGCTGCTGGACGTCCAAACTTTGTTCTTTAATAACAAATGAACTCACTTTTATTGGTCGTGTTTAAAGTTTTTTCTCCCTTTCTGCCGAATTGCTTCAACGATATCGTGTGAAAGGATTCTGAAGGATAATCTCTTGCGGAGATTCGGCTGGCTAGATATTTGGACTGACGCCTTCACTGAAGGCGTCAGTCGAAATATCTAGCCTAGCCGAATCTCCGATTTTGAAGGATTGCATGAAATCGGAATGAATAGTGTTATTTGTATTATCTTCACCAAGATAAAGTTACATGATCAGAAACAAGAGGCCTAGGGGCCTTAGCGGTCATCTAGGTATAAAACCACCCGTAAAGGATACAACTAGGTAATTTTATTAATATAAAACAAACTGATAGATATATTGCTATAAAATAAGAGGAATAGGATGATCAGTAATCAGTAGAATGGTAAGTCTGGTTATAAGCAGAAACAATTCAGGATATTTTTTTAATGTGATTTAGTTATCAATTCAATTACATTAGTTACAGTGATTTATGTTACCAAAGGTGAGTGACAAAGCACAGTATAAATTTCCAAACATGATAGTAATAGAGTCCCACCCTAGCTCCAGCACCCTTGACCAAGAGGCCATGAATTTCTCAATTTTGAAGAAGCACCTTTGCTTATCACAAGCATGCACTTAGTCCACACAGGAGAAGAGAAGATTTTTAAATAATATATGCATTTCCCCTACATGATCAATAGAACCCCACCATCACTTCAATCCCCCTGGCACAGGGGCCATGAACACAATTTTTTAAGAAAAACTCTTGCTCATTATAGCCAGGCACTTTGTTTGTCTGCTGAATACATTGAAGCAGAGATTTTCAAAGAATTAATCCATTTTTACCATATGACCAATAGAACCTCTGACCTTGGAGCCACAAATTTTGCAATTTTGGTAGGGGGGCCTAAGCTTTTTTTATAATAATTCTAACAGTTTGACTGCCTGATGTCTGAAAGTAAACAAAATTTTCGAAGACTGCATTTATTTTGGGGCTAACCCACCCCTCATGCCCAAAGGTGGCAGAGATCAAGAAATTCATAGATTTTGTTTGCCATTTTTCTAAGTGCCTCAGGTGTCCTTAAATTGATCTCATTCAAATACTTTCAAAATTACTATTATAATCCCCATTTGGCTATTACATACATGTACAGTACTATACAATAGAAAGCCAATTTTAATGAATAGTTTTGCCTCATCAACAATATTTGATTTCATTTTTTAAAGCTAGTTAAGGTGTAGGAATTTAGGCTGGACTGAGGACATCGGCCTGGATAACTCAGTGGTTAGAGCACCTGACTAGTAATGCAGGGGTCCCGGGTTCGATTCCCGGTCCAGCCATATGTTTTTCATTATATATCTATTTATGAATTTTCAATGTATATTAACTCATTCCTCCTTTCCATACTACAGATGATGCCGTGGCCTACCTTGTTCAGGGAATATAATAAATAATATATAATTAATGTGAAGTCCTGACAAGGTGAACTTGTGTTGTGTCTTCGGGGACGAAGACTATTTAAGGAGGGAGGAATGTAGGAATTTAGGCTGGACTGAGGACATCGGCCTGGATAACTCAGTGGTTAGAGCACCTGACTAGTAATGCAGGGGTCCGGGTTCGATTCCTGGTCCAGCCACATGTTTTTCATTATATATCTATTTATGAATTTTCAATGTATATTAACTCATTCCTCCTTTCCATACTACAAAGGAATCCAAAATTGCTTCCTAACCCCCCCCCCCCCCCCCCCCCAGCTTGTTTCCATCCTAGAGCAACCTAGACATATCAGCTTCAACTATTTCATTAAATCACACAAAATGAACTTTTTGCGAACATCTTTAATGAATTATTGCAGTGAGTAGTATGTACAAATATGTGGATGATTTTGATTGGCTGCAGATCATTTATGTTCCTGTTCTCATTGGTGGAGAGACCAATATAACCCCATCACCTCTCACAAACAACATTGGAATATTTCTCTTTGTTGTCTGAAAAATAAATAACAAAACTTTAAAACAAATGAAAATTGCCACTTGACAGATATCTAAATGATGAGCACTTGTTTTTGCTATATACATTTTTATATATATTTCCAAATAACCAAATGATATATGAGCATTTTTTAAGGGAGAAATGGACCATTTAATCCCTTATCTCTTAATTGCAAATATACAGTTATTAAAGTAATACAGTATTTTTCTGCCTAGTCTGTATTATGCCTGTATAGAATGGTTTTTGAGTTTTTGAAATGCTGTGTGTGTATTTCTTTTGATTAATGGTAATAGGAAAAGACTTTGAATTTGCAGGTGGGTTGCAATTTAATGCACTATTTATGCTCTTAAATTTGAATTCAGCAATATGCATATTTCAAAAGCGATAATGGCCACCTCTACATCTGTGAAGTCATATAAACAGCCCCTGTAAGGGACTGGTAAGAAATGGTACAAATTCATTGTTTTCATGATGGGCTCGATCACTTGTTCTAATTGGACATGATTAAACTGTTTTTACTCTTTAAATATGCAAAGTCAAAGTAGTTCAAAGTAAATGGTTGGTGCTTATATCAATGTTGGTAGATAAGTATTCACATGTCAAGTATTTGATATTATGATTAATAGAAAACCTTTATTATTATTTCTTAGTTCAAAAGCTAGATATGGGAATCATGCATTAAGGAATAATTTCCCTCCTTTTCTATGTACCGGTAATCATCATTAATAAATGAATTCTGCTGTTATTTAAGATTGTTTCCATGTAATTTGTAAATCCTACAGATTTTCCATGAAAGTAACTTTGAACAGATCTATTTCAATTACAAAACAAATGTTTTTAAAAACAATTTTATCCACCAACTTTGTATATTTCCTCGAATGTCTCTTCGTCTATTTCTACAGTTGTGACAGTTTCCTCGACATCTCCCAGGATCATGTTCAGGTGCTGATCATAGGCCTGCCAAGAAAATAGAATCATCTAATAAATAATGGTTAATATAATCTACCACTTTTTTTATACAGATTCAATGGATTTTATAAGTAAACCTTAATACTGAATAGATTTAATTTTTTTACTTTAGTTCTTCATTCATTTATTACTTTTTCCAAGTATGAAATTTAATACTGAGTTTTTAAATCTTTAGTTGGAAAAAACATATCTCCTGAAAAAGCAGATTTTCAACTCTCCTTTTTTTTTTTTGGAAAAAGATAGAAACAAGACAAACCTACTTATTTCCAGTATGTTTATTTTAAAACATAGAATGACTTCCTTAAAAACATATAGATAAGAAAAAAAACCTGCATGATTTCACTTACATTCAGTCTCCCTCTGAGTTCACGCTCATTTCTCATCTTCACATAAATTCTTTCATCCAGACTTAGACGAATCAGATCAAGGGGCTCCTCAACATTCTGCACTGGGGCTTGCTATCAAAAAATAAATGCAAATCTAAACCCGAAGCTAATACATATACCCCATCACCTTGACACAGAGAGAAGGGTGTGGTCCATGTATTAAGTAGTATACCAAAATCTCTACTGAAACTACTAACATAATCTGTGACGAAGGTGAAGATATAAATGAACAGTGATTAATCTCATAAAACCTATAAACAATACAAATCATTGAACAAGGCAGAAAAGCATGGACCCCTGGAAATTCCAGAGGTGGGTTCAGGTGGCTTGGAAAATAAGCACCCCTTTGACTGGTCACACCCACAGTGAGCCCTATGTATTAAAGATTTGATCAGGTAGACAGAATAATCTATAGTGGTTGAATGAGTAACTGAACAAGTTGATGTTATACTGTTCAACAAAAGATTTTGAAACAAACTTTGTCAGAAACCTACAAAATACAGTCAGTCTTGAAAAAAATTACAAGCCAGATACCAGAGGCCTGTTCAACAGAGAGAACGTTTGCAAGCGCTCGTGAACATTTCTTTGGAGAGATAAGGAATTTTGGCAAGCCCTCAGGAAATATTCATTCTGTTGAACAGGCCTCAGAAACTACCCTTTTGGCTAGATAGAATGTTATATCATTAAAATGATAAATGCCCTGCAGACCCGGTTTAACGATAGAATGTGTTTCGTGTATTGGCAATGAAGCAAAGAAAACACAAGAGGTAACTCTCAGTGCATATCCTATGAACAGTCCAGAGAGTTCTGAATGTCAATGTGGTGTGTAAATTTGAAACGAGTAAAAATTGTTTCAGAGAAAGTGTTGAATTCTTCCATTAATAAGGATTAATTCATTTGTTTAAAACATATCCATATTTTCAAAAAGGTTTGTTATGATTAATTTTCAATGCAACTCCATTTCTTTTCTCCAAAATCATTTTGGAGCTATTCTGCAATTTTCTGCTACTTTGGGTATATGGGAGGCATTCTAACTGTGGTGAAGATCTGTCCTGAGACACAGTTAGATTATCTAACTTTATTTTGGCCTGCTGTCAGGTCCAGCACAATCTCTTGATTTAGCTATATAGCTTGATTTAACTATATATCTTTATTAAGCTATTCAGAATAGCTTGATTTAGCTATTTTATCACACTTTTTTTTCTTAAATGTGTATTTTCTCAGCATGCACAAAAAGTCGCACCTTGGTGCAGTGATAATATTCAACCTTGAACTCTTCTGAAAATAATGCATGTAAAAATCACTCAACAAACTTGGTGTCCTTAAGAGACTTTGTACTCAACAGTCAGGGGTGAGACTGAAATCTGTCATTTTTGAAAAACGATGGATAATCGTCATATTTACTCACTACGTATTTTCGTCATTTTTGTCAATATGACTTACTATCATCATATTTTCTTTTTCAACTTAACTCTTCTATCCTGGTTACATAAAAGCAAAATTTGAATTCACCGCTGAAAGAAGAATGTTTACGCAAGTTTCATTTCATCCGGGTCACTAATTACTGCCGACCACGTGCGTTAGAACATCAACATGGAAGGTGAAAGTTATTATTTAGCGGTAAAATGTCGAAATTTGGTAGAATTAATTTGCCATTTTTACATGGCTTTTAGTCCTATAAAAACATATAGTACACCGTCTGGAAGAATACGTACTTGTAGAGAGAAATCTCGACAAAAAGTTAAAGCCATAAAAAAGTAGTGCGCCCCGTAAAACAAGCGAGATATTTCAGTGCGCCCGGACCCTCCATTTTGAAAAAAGACGGAATGTCGTCATTTTCGTCTTCTTTCCTATTTAATGCAAATAAATTGACAAATAACTCTTCCACTCTTATTTTTGCTTGGGAAATTTGTACTGTCAATATAACCAGTATTGTAGTCAACTGTACTAGAGAAATCAAGTTTGTTTACGATGTTTTTTGTCCTTTTTTCGGTTGGTGGATCTAACATTTTTCAAAGAGAGGTAACTTGGTATTCTAGAAACACTCTAAATTTTTATGACTGTTTTTCATCATTTTCTTAAAAATGACGAGTTTGTCATAATAAAAACTTTATTTTATGACTGAAAATCGTCATTTTAATAATGACGGATTTCAGTCTCACCCCTGACTGCTCAAAGTTCTAAAAGTTTTAGGGCTATATAAAGCAATTGACACATTTACTTCTTCAGTGAAATTATAAAGGAGCCCAATTATGGTCAACAAGATGATTGCAATGAGAAGCAATCATACTTAATATCCATGCCTCAACACACACAAGGTTGTGTATAGAGTTACTCAATGGAAATTCATCTTTTGCTTAAAAGTATTCAAATGCTGTAATGTTAGAACTATCTTTGATTTCGGTTGTTGTTTTGATAACCCATAGTACATATATGAATAGTCAAATACTTGCGACTTTTTGTCTATTTCTTACAACAAACATTTTTCTGAAAAACTGCACATAACTAGCTTTATCATGCTAATTTGAATAGCTTAATAAATCTACAGTACCAACCAGACACAACCTAACACCAGAGCGAACCCTAAGCGCATCCCGGGTTCGCTCGGGGTCTGCTAAAGCGGACCCACAGCTGACCCTGAGCGAACCCAGAAAACGACCCCTGGGTGCTGAATTTGGGGTTCACTCTGGGTCCGCCACGGGTTTGTTGGGGTGTGCTCTGGGTTTGCTTGGGGTCAGCCCTAGCGAACCCCAAGCAAACCCAGAAAGTGAACCCGGGTGCACTTTGGGTTTGCTTCTGTTAGGTTGTGTCTGGTTGGTACTGTAAACAGCTATTTCAAGCTATATAGCTAAATCAAGAGGTTGTGCTGGACCTGTAGTAATACACTTCCTCAGTTACCCGATGGGTTAGTAAAAGGTTAAAAATTGTAAATAATTTGGAAGAAATAAAATACAGTCAAATTTAGTTATCTCAAACTCAAGGGGACCGATATTAAACAGGTCTAGTACAATCTCTTGATTTAGCTATATAGCTTTATTTAGCTATATAGCTTTATTAAGATATTCAGAATAGCTTAATTTAGCTATTTTATCACACTTTCTTCTTAAATGTGTAATTTTTCTCAGCAGGTACAAAAAGTCGCACCTTGGTGCAGTGATGATATTCAACCTTGAACTAGTTTTTAACCTCATTATGTTAAATTTAAGATATCTCTACAGTTACACTTACAAAAAATGCAGCCCACTTATTATTTTTTTTTATATATTTTTTTAAATTTACACAAATTTTACCATATATTATGAATTCCACCCAAAATCAAATATTGTATACAATTTTTTTATGCGTTACCAACTAAACAAAATGATTTAACTGAGCAAGAGCGTTAAGAAAGTAAAACCAGAAAAAGTACCTGCTCTTGTTCATCCGCCATTATTCTTCCTGAGATTTACAATGAGAAAAATATCTTTTCGGACAAAACTGCATTTAGAAATACAAAGTGAAAAGAATCTGTAGTAGTATGATCCTTAATCAATATTTTTAAATTAAATTTGTGTAAAAAGTATGTCTCTTAAGCATTCAATATAAAGAGTGTTCACCGAATTTATATTTTTACAAAAATATCCGAATTTTAAAGTTGTCGATTCACTTGATTGATTAAAACCGGAAGTTTACATTTTGGGAATCGGCGTGGGAAAAGTTACAGAATGCGCTTCCTGAAGGTTTGAAAGAAAAGCTTTTGAACGCAAGGGTTCAACCTACAATTTCAGGTATAATTTAGTAGCATTTTAGGTCTTCTTTTGGAGTGAGGGTAGACGGAGAGCACTGGCAACTTGCAGTTAGATTTTTAAACATAATATGTTGACGGTGCGACCGTTAGGGCGAGCGCAGATACATATATATTCAGTTTTAATTTACATGTAGATCGGGCTCTTCAAACCGCACATGACGTTTAGTACGTCTAGACTCTGACGTCACATGACGTCGCTTGTAAGTTGCATTATTAAACGAAGTCTGAACAGTGCTAATTTTAATAAAGAAGATTTTATCTACTATTTATCTGTTATACATGTATATATCCATCAAATCAAGGTGAGATTATATTTTTCTTGCTACTTCTTGTTACCATGAGAATGTTGTTTGCGGCAAGATGCAATTCGCAAAGCATTATGCATTTATGGGACCACAGGTTACTGCGAAAAAAAAGTCATTTGGATCAATGTGCAAAGTCTGAAATTTCTCTTCGTCCAGGCGTTGCTTTAAGAGCTCGTAGTGACGAACCGTGCTTGCTATAACACTCATACTCAACAGGTAGTGACCAATTGCCTAGTTAGAATAATCTTACTTTGTCTCGGACAGGCCCTCAACAGGTCCGTAGGACATTTATGATTTTAACTGTAGAACATTTTATCTCCTGAATGGGATATAATTACTCATTTGGTCAGTCCAAAGACTATTTTAAAGGGACCTGGACACAGTTGCAAGGTTTACTTTTTAAATATCGGTGTTTATTCAAAAATTCCTTTGCTACTGGAAAATGAAACTTGATGTAGTTTGTGATGCAAAATTGGTAAGATTAAAAGTATTCATTTTTTGGCCAAAATTTTTTTTGTATTCATTGTACGTGTATCGATCTGTATTAAGAAATTTGGTACTTGCCATATTGCGCCATTCCAGTGAAGTTAGCTACCTGGAGTATTTTTAAATACCTAGGTACAGTCTCTGAAACATTCTGCTTTCCCACTTGAATGGTGAGCAAACAGAAAAATGGGAAAGTATTTCTGGGACTTTAGCTATAAGTAGCTACGTAGATAGAAATGGTCTTTGGACAAGACCTGTGTAACATCTAAAATGGGATATAAATTAAATGAAGTATTTCTTTGGCCATAAATATTGTAAATCTGAGTAAATAATATTGTCCTGTCATGTGTTTTCGTGGTTTGTATGTCTTTATGTCATTTTTATATTTTTCTGAAGCACTCTGCTTTATGGAAATTACAGGATACTTGTATTATACAATTATGGACTTCAGTGTAGGTCGATATATGCATGGTTCTAAGGACCCATGTGATATGTGATATTGACTGAAGACACAGAAAGTGATAGCAACCGAGGTCAATATCTCTGCAGTGAACATATTGACCATTCACTGAGGTCCATAATTGTTATATAATTACTCAATGTGAATAATCTGACACAGTTCTAACTAAACAGACTTGGCTGTCATTACATCACAAGGGTAAAAACATGCTTCTTATATTATGACGTCAGGTTCTACATAACTTTGGTGCAGCTGAATGGTGAGATGTGCGATATATTCCGTGGACGTGCTTGTGCTTCAATATCACAAAAGGACAAATATCATGTGACATCCTTTCAGCCAATGAAAGTTACAAAAATAATCTTGTTATATCATATTTGTTATTGATAGAGGGGAAAAACTGACAAAATATGTACCACTTCGCTATAATGGCATTGTCCTGTCAGTACTTCAATTGTATCCTGTGCAGTACGCACATTTTGAAATTTGAGAAAGAAAAAAAAAATGCGAAGTTGGGAGAGAACAATAATCAAAGTTTCAAAAATGTTTTTAGGATGGTGAAGATTGGAACTTTCTTTGACCCAGTGGTCACAAAGACTTGGAGCAAACAGCAGACATGGAAACAGGCCAGATCATCCTTCGTCTGGTGCATCATCAACCTCTGTTTAGCCATATTCATGTACTTAGAACTGTAAGAAAACTTTGACTAATAATTAAAGTGAACATTTTGTGAAATCACCAATTTTCATGGAGGGGGGGGGGGGGGTATTTTTGTTGTTTTCATGGTGTGAAGAGACCCACAAATTTATATCCTCCAGGAAATGTAAAATTCAAATATATAACAACTCGGCACATATTTATCCATGAAATCACATTCCTACAAACCAATTTTTTTTTCCTTGAACCACAAAAATTTGTGATTTTACTCTTTGTGTATTCTGACACGTGAATTAGATCATCTTTGAATAAAGAGGGCTTTCAATAAGGATTGTCAGGAGGTGATTTATCATTGGTTCGACAATTTGAATTGGCTGCTTTAAATTTCATAATTGGCAAATCAGTCTATTGGAAGTAATTCTAAAACACCTTTTCAAATGGAAATATTCACGTCTTCACTTTAAAATTATTGAAATCCCTGATAAATGAAATGTTTGCCGTTTGCAGCTCAGAAAACACAAAATTATTATTTCTTGTACTGGGCATCTGGTCTGGTATCTTGCCTATCTTAATAGGATGTAAAAAGGTTTTCTGGACCAGAATTTTGTAATATTATATTCTAGCTCCTTTAGTCAACTCACAGTATTTGTCAATTAGTAGTACATGTAATACTAGACATGTTTTAAAAATCATAAGAATGTGTGAAAGTTTACCAGATATGTCTTCAGTCCAACAAATTATGTGTGGACTGGCATCTACAATACAATTTTGAAATATTTTAAGCATCATAATATTTTTATTCTCTAAAAGTGGTGTAAGAAAATAGTCGAAATTAAAGCAACAACTTGTACTAAATTATTGTGTATATGAGATATATATATGTTCTGATTTAGTTTGGTCTGTATGAAGTTTCGTCAATCATATTTCAGATTGTTCTCTTTTTAACAACTGTTAATGTGAAAAAACACACAAGCACACAAAAGAAAAAAATCTAAAATGTAAAAATGGACATGCGTTTAGCCTATGTTTGGTTTTGTGTACATTATAACATGTGAAGTTGAATATTGTCTTTACTTCTGTTTTTAGCTCACCTGAGCCGAAGGCTCAAGTGAGCTTTTCTGATCAAAATTTGTCCGTTGTCTGTCGGCGGCGGCGTCGTTGTTGTCATAAACTTTTCACATTTTCATCTTCTTCTCCAGAACTATTAGGCCAATTTCAATCAAACTTGGCACAAAGTATCCTTGGGTGAAGGGGATTCAAGTTTGTTCAAATGAAGGGCCACGCCCTCCTCCAAGGGGAGATAATTACGAAATAGCAAAAAATTAATGGCATTATTGAAAAATCTTCTTCTCAAGAACCAATGGGCCAGGAAAGATGAAACTCATGTGGAATTATTGTCAGGTAGTGTAGATTCAAATTTGTTCAAATCATGGCCCCCGGGGGTAGGGTGGGGCCACAATGGACGATCAAAGTTTTACATAGGTGTATATAGGAAAAATCTTCAAAAATCTTCTTCTCAAGAACAGCAAAGCTATGATTGGTCATATTTATGTGGAAGCATCCTCAGGTGGTGTAGATTCAAGTTTGTTCAAATCATGACCCCCGGGGATAGGGTGGGGCCACATTGAACGATCAAAGTTTTACATAGGAATATATAGGAAAAATCTTTAAAAATCTTCTCAAGAACAGCAAAGCCACGGTTTGTCATATTTATACGGAAGCATCCTCAGATAGTGTAGACTCAAGCTTGTTCAAATCATGATCTCCAGGGGTAGGGTGGGGCCACAATGAAAGTTCAAACTTGTAGAGAAAAAAGTCACAGTTAGTCAAAAAATTATGTAAGCCTCCTTAGTTAGTGTATATTCAAGTTTGTTCATATCATGACCCCCCCCCCCCTTTCACTTTTAGGGGTAGGTAAGGACCACTTATGCATTTAAGCTTTTCAATACTAAACTGATTTTTCCTTTTTTCCTAGTCACAGTGCTCAGGTGAGCGATGTGGCCCCTGGGCCTCTTGTTAAAAACATACTACTAATTGATACAATACAATGACATTTATCAATTTGTTATTACAGGACAATATTTGGAATAAGAAGTCAATTTAACTTGAAGACACCCTTGTTTTGGTATATAGGTAAATGTTTTTATTTTTTCTGTATTGTTTCATAATTGTGCACTCTGAATTTTAAGAAATGTTACTATTATCTTTATAAAGTATGCAAGCCTTGGTTCATTGATATGCATGCATATTTTTATACCCTTAATCATTCAATCCATCTGTGTGATTAAGGTTCATCACCCTCTGTACACCTGTAATCTCATATGTCTGTACACCTGTAATCTCATATCTCTGTACACCTGTAATCTCATATCTCTGTACACCTGTAATCTCATATCTCTGTACACCTGTAATCTCATATATTGCTTTACTGCTGATGATTGTCCAAAAGAAATCTAACTTATAATTAAAATACACACAATATTAGCATGCCTTGTGGGGGAAAAACTGACAGAAAAGGCATTCTAATTGAGCAATTTTATAGAGAAATAATTATACTTTTATCCCAGTTATGTTATCTCTCTTATCAGAGGGTCAAAAAACCTTAAAGAAAATGCATGTACTTCCAGATCTTCGAAGATAGTATTGTTAATTACCTAATAAATGTGTATGCAATCTCTGGGAAGTGTACATGTAAATACACATATACTTTTTGTATACATGTACATGATCACGATGCAAGG